AGAACTGGTTACCTAAAAATCAGGTTTTGGAAGCAGGTCTTAAAAGCAATCAATTCTGAGGCCTGCAGTGCTGTTGTCTGCCCATGCCCCTTCCCTGCTATGTTCCAAACTCCCAGAGAATCTCTTGGCTACCTCACCAGATCCATTTCAAACATCTTCCAGTCACTGGGACTCAGCGTCAAGGATATGGCTCCACTAACACTCGGGTTGTCTGAATTGTTTAAAAGAGATGCTTTCAAATGGAGCAGCACATACAAAAGACCTTTTTTTTTTTAAATTGTCAAACCTGCCACAACTTTCTGCAGGCTTTCACAGTTGTTTGGGAGCTGCTCTATTTTTGCAGGCGTGTCCTTGCACAGTGTCCTTTTGCTACACTAGAGCAAAAGTTCTGTGCTTTTCAGTACTCAAATCAGTCCTGACCCAGCCCCTTTCCATCTTGATCAGACTCATCTGCCTGGTCCATTTGTCAGCAATTGAATGAGTCCAACCCCTCCACATTAACTTTGAAAAATCATGACAATCCCTCTCTAGTAAAAACCATTCCTTGGGGTCATTTTCATCGCAGCTAAGGGCAAGGCCTTCCTCTCTTTACCGAGAGCTCGCTATCTTCAGAGTCTCACAGAACTGGTCATCAGCACCAGAGTCATGCAGCCACAATCAAACCCCTGCACTGCTACACTTTATGTCCATTTTCACATATGTCTAATATACCTATAGTATCTCTCTCTCATTGAACTCAAAAAGGGGAAGGCCTCTGCTTTCTGGCCACCCTAGGATCAAGCTGTCATTGCTGAAATGGCTTCATTTATACAAGCTTCCAAAAAGTCTCCATGTTGGGCAAGGAGTTCTTCCCTCATTCTGACTTGGGGCAAGTTCTTGTAGCAGTCATGTCAACACACTCAAGCTCCTTGAGGTTTTCAAGATGTTTGCATGTTTGAAAGGTATACTTTGCTTCCAAACTGTAGTACCCAGTCAACAAAGAGGGTAGTACAAAATTGGCCTCAGTATAGCAGCTGATCCTTCAATCATGGAATAAGAGTATGTTGCTGTTCACCTATTAGGAAACAAAAATATTTTAGGACATCTGTGGGAGGTCCAGTGGACTTCTACAGGCCTCATCTCCCATATTTGTGTTCAATATCAGTCTAAATGATCTCAGTTGCAGCAAAGGGTGATCAGATACTATAGGGCCTTCTTCATATGGCCCATTTCTCTTCCAGCAATGCCACTTCTCTTCAGAACATTTTCTGAATTGTGACACGCTTTATTGGGTTTGTTCCTGGAGCCTCAATCCTCTAATTGACCGCATTCTAATCTTTTTCCTACACTGAAGTAATGGGGACTAACCTTGTCATAGCTCTCAGTCTGACAACTCATATGCATCTTACCTTCAACCCAGGGATTAAAATTAACTATTGCATTTGTACCCTTCATGTTCTTTGCTGGTACTAACATGGAACCTCTTGGTCATTTCTAAGTTGATGACTCCCCCATTTGAGTTTCTGGCCACATCTTCTCTTCCATGGGTATCATAAAAGATTATCTTTCAGGTGAGTGGGGGAGTTCTGTGCATTACAAGCAGCCCCTTGCCTCCCCTTGACTACATATAGAGACAAATTGATTTTGTGCCCTGATGTATCTTTTTTGTCCAGGGTTTTAGCTTTCCATTTTATCTGCCACAGTAGGCTTGATTTGCAGGCTTAATGGGTCATTTCCTTTGTGAGAGCTACCATCTCTTCCAGCTTTATGAGAACTGATCCTACTCCAGGTAAGTGGCTAGATGATCATCCATATTCATTAATGACCGAGTTGGCAGTAAAGAACTGGTTACTTCTATGTCATTGAATTATTTAAGTGAAATTCAAGGAACCCACCCTTGTACCCACTTTAGTGTTCTGTGGTCCAGTGGCTCCTGTCAAATTCCACACATGCTAACAAGTGTGAAACTGTAAGGATATTGGTGAGAGCTGCACCAGTATATGTACAGGGGGCCAAACTTTCACTAAAAAATACAAAACTCTGGAAATTTCTGACTGGAACTAGAGAAGGCATAGAACCCACTGGAAGAGTCTCAGGCAGATAATATCCTCTGCTTTCCTCTCCTTCTAGACCTATGAAGACAAAGCTGGCAGTACTAATGATATTTGAACTGGTCATTCATTTGCTTTGAATAAGGCCTATGAAATGATGCAGTCTGCTAAGAGGAATTAGACATGTTGATTTAGTGCAGTCCCTGCTGGTTCTTCTTTCTGCCAGGCAGGGCCACATTTACAGGGAAAAAGCAAACATAAAATCACAAATCATTTGTTTGGATTTCCTGCCAAGACCTAATGGCACAAATAAATTCCAAAGTTCTTTTTTGCACTAATCCTGGCCTTTGCATTAAGATGCCATGGGAGGGGGGGTATCTCCCCATTTCTACTTCATAGCATCATGGGGGATTTATAGCATCCCCGCAGCATCATTCAGCCACTGCTGTGGCAGTCTAAAGTGTATCTTCACTTCTGTAAATGGCATTACCCTATTCTGATCAGTGGGTTTTGTCAGAATAATTGCTCCTAGCGAACCTAGAGGCAAAGTTAATATCTTGATTCTTTTAGCTGGTTGCATCCATTTGCTCTATTTGGGCTTTCCAAAATTCTAATCCAGATACACATGGAACTGATTGTACATGAGCTTATATTGACTGGCAAGGTTCACTTTCTTACAAACTATAGTATAGTAGAGTCAATACTCTTCTGCATGGAGGTGGTTAAATGAAGGTGGGGAGAGAAACTAGCACAAATCAAGAGCAAGGGGCAGTGTGGTAGCTGTTGTAGCAAGACTATAGCAAGAGATGCTGGATCAGGCCAGCATCCATCTAGCTCCATATTACGTGTGGTTAAAAGGGTTGGAAAACAATCTCTTGTTTCCCTTCACCCAAAATGAGTCAGAGCATGAGTGAAAGGGGCTGGAAATCAGCAATCTCAGTTTACAGGTTCTAAGCCTAATCGGCATTCCTGAATTATTTTTTTAGGTCTATTGTCACAATATAAATTTGTTTGGTACTTTGTATCTTTCTTTTTTAACTTTTTTTCTTCTTTTTGCATTTTTCCTTTTTACATTTTTCTGTTTTAAATTAGAAGGGAGATAATAGACCTTTTTTTATAAACAATGAAAATGGTAAAAGAAATCTCATAAGATTTTTCTTATGCCGTTTTCTAAATGGTTTCTTCAAAATTAACGGTGCTTGCATTCCTGTTGGTGTTGCCGCACATTTCCATATGGAGATTGGATGTATTAAGATTTTGATGTGGGGGGAGGGAGGTATTGAAACAATGCCATGTTGATTAGAATACTTTTTGCCCCGTAAGACTACTTTTGAGGCATATAAAAGAGCAACTGGAATATAAGGTTTTTTTTATACTGGCAAGTTCTCTGTAAAATTAAAACCTTACTTGGTGAATGGAAATGAAGGTCTGAAGAATATTGGAAAATGAAGTTTTCCTGTAACTGAATACTTCATAAATGTGTGGATTTTGCAGAATAATCAGGGTGTATGAACTGAAGTCCTGTAGTTACTATGACAGCCAGCAACAAAAACTTTATTCTAAGATACTCCTTATTATCTCTCCCTCCAGGATACCATCTCATTTTCCTTCCCACCTTCTCCTCCTGCCCTGCCCCTGCTGCACTCATGACTGTGGAACAGTCTCAGTGGCCTGTTCTGAGATTTTCTCCTTCTCGCTTTGTGCATGGGACTGTGCTGACTACATAAGTATTAAGGGAACTGTTAATATTGGATTACAGCTCAGTCCTGTTTCAGTATTGAGTTTAATCCAGGTTTCATTGAGTTCAGTAGGATTTAGTCTAGATAGTTGTATTTAGGACTGAAGCTTATCAGCATTTGAGGTGAGCTTCTAGATGTTCATTTCCTGGATATTAGTGTAATCTAGTTGGTGTTCAGGTCTTTTGCAGAAAAAGCAAACTATGAAAATCTGATACTGATCAGTATACCCCGATTCATATTGGGTAATTGTCAGCCTCCAGGAAATTGAGTACAGAAATCCAGAGACATCTGTCAATGGGACCCACCATTCCACTCACTTTATCACTGATTGTATATACTACTCAGGGCATGGCTGCACCCTTATTGTGATACTTCTCCCTCTGATAATGTAATTTCTTAAAAAGGGGGGGGGGAGAAATCATGCCTCATGATATATCTTCAAGAGATACCTTATTAGTAACATTCATTATGTCATTGTGTAGGCAATCTAACTTGCTTGATGCCTAAGCAATTCTCTTTCCCACCTAATTACTTTTTCACTTTTTCTTTTTCATTTATGCAAAGAAAGCTAACCTGTAGAGCAGAGCACCAATTGTCATCACTATCTATAAAAAGCTCCTCAACCACATGTAGAAAAACATGGGGAAAAACATGCTGAGTGGCTACAAAGAAATGTTTGCTTGCATGTCTGACCTTTGAGAAGCTGGGATCTGTAATGGAAATGAAAAGGCTGCATTATTTACCCTCTACAGTTCCCTTTTCTTTTACATACCTCACCCACAACATTGTTCACTCGGAGCACAAAGCAACTTATTTAGGCTTTTTATTTCAATTCAGTGTGATTTAAGATGAATTGTACTAATTATGCACGTACCTTAGTTGATAAATAGGTGACAATACTCTTGGCATTGTCTTACAGCTTTATAAATATTGCCACTGAGAAAAGTGAGTTATGGCCACTGTCTAGACAAGTTTAGGTGCTGTGCCACTGATATCGATGGGAGAAGTAAAAGAACATGCTTAAATTTCTGATTAAAATCTCGACTCAGAAAGGCTGGAACTCTGCTGAAAGGTGACCTACATTTCTTAAAAGAAAAAAACAGCATTGGACAGAAGTTATAAATGTATTATTCCCAGTTAAACTTGTTTGTATCATCTCAACTTTTTCCTGCCCGATTTGTAATGGGTAGAGACTGCAGATAGATGGTCATGGCTTCTTCCTTTCTTTTAGGTCCTCTTAAACCCGTTGGGCTGCCTTTGCTGGGTGGACTTGCTAGCAGAGCTGTTGAATACTCCATGATCCCATTCCAATTGCCTCTCCATGGAAGCTCTCAAGTAAATCCCATGAATTGTTAAAATGAATTCATCTGTCATCATCCCAGAGAAGCATGCAATACTGTGAATGATTGTAAAACTGAGCAAGTCATTGCTGTACTAACTAAACAAAACTGCTTTGAAGAGCTAGACACTCAAACTCCTTTCTGGAGGCTGCGTTTAATTGAATGGAAGTTGTTGCAAGATGGGCTAAGAGCTACTTCTGTTTATGCACAAGTTAGTGAGAAGCTGTCCTGTAGGATGGTGTCCATGTTTATTATGCGAAGGATCTAAGGACTGACTCCTTGGAGACATGCTTGTCCAAGTATCTTAAGAATGCTAACCGTTCTAACCATATGGCTGCACATTGGCTTCCAAATGTTACCCCCACCCCCCCAGTGAATAATACTACAGTGGAACTTCTTTTACCTCTTTCTTTGTGACAACTTGCATGCCTATTAGGATGCGCATCTTAAGATTCTTAATTAATTTTCTGCTAGGTGCCCACCTAGCAGATATATTCTGCTAGGTGCCCACCTAGCAGAATATATCTGATAGGGCAACTTCAGAAACCTGGGTGTAGCCCTATTTTTCCATTATATGCTAAAAATAGCCTTTTAATCTGCAGAGTTTCCTGAAGACCGCCCCTCTGGTGGGCAGTGCAATTGGCAATTTGTCCTGGAGGCCCTGTACTTCATCTGGAATAGGCTTACAGGAACAATGAAGTACCAAGTGCGGGACAGGCATTCGCGTTCTGAACAAAAGAGAAAATTAATATGAGACACCCTCGAGAAACATTTAGCAAAGTTATGGATGAGGTTTCTCCAGCCTAGGGTTCAAGCCATGAAATTCAGTTGAGTTCAAATTAACATCATGCTACCTTTCTCTTGGTTTGTTAGTGACAGCCTGCTTCTATTCCCAGATTTGTCTTGTTACATCAGGGCTCCACAAAGTATAAGATACGATCAGGGGGCACTAGATGTTTCTTAAATTATTTTGTCCTAGTTGTACCAAGGCTGATAATGTTTATTGACTGAAACTTGTATGGTTTATCAATGATATTTCTAGTAAGAAATCTGCCTCTACATCCAGTTGCTTGTCATATTTTGTACTTTATCTTGGTTAAGTGGTACCCTTTGGTGGATTGCACAAATCTCAAAGACCTTAGCTTTAGAAAACGTTATTTTGGCACAAGGGGAAAAGGGGTATGCCTCTGTGGAGGATGAAAGCTACCCGTTGGCCTCTCTCCAGAGACAGACCTGCCAGACTGCCATCAGAGGGCAAGACAATCATATAGAGCTTCACTGGTGGTGTACTTTGCAGACGTCTTACTCTTCTCACCTGAGATATCTGCACGGACACATCAGAAAGACTGGAGCAACGAGAGGCTAATGCACGTGTATTTTACTTGGATAATGTTTCTTTAGTACTAGAGCAATGCAATCTAGCTTTGTGTTTAGCTTTGCTTGAGAAACGGAGTCATTTTTTTTAAGTTCATGGCCAATCTAACCATAGGAGGCAAATTATTCTGTGTTCATAAATTCATTTTCAAAGTACGTTTTAAATCAGTTCGTAAAAGTGCCAGACTTCTAACACTTTGCACTGATTCAGTGTAAGAGGAACAGATGGATTGTATAGCATTTGGGAAAAGTATAACTGCAAGGCAGGCGATCCCATTGTGATTGTTTCTACAGTCTCTGTTCCAGGAGCTATGTAAAACCTTTGCACCGTATGCTGATGTCAGCCTTTCAAGGTAAACCAGACTAGGAAACCAGAGTTATGAATACTAATACTACTTTTATTATAAAGTTGCAGTTAACAGAGTCTTGCAAGTCTGAATGCGCTTCCCCCTTCCCTCCCTTTATCTTTATGAAAACTAGGGAGGGTCATGTCTGAGATGCTTTCTCAAGTTACATTTCTAGCCTGGACTCAGATTTCTTTTATCTGACCATTGTCTTGGTTGTGGCTCTTCCTCGTGTTCCTCAAGGTTATTCCTACTTCCCATTGCAACCTGTTACAGTGAAAAAAGGCCCTTATATTATCTGTCTAAACCAGTGTTTCTCAACCTTGGCAACTTTAAGATGAGTGGATTTCAACTCCCAGAATTCCCCACTCAGCCTTGCTGGGAGTTGAAGTCCACCCAGTTGCCAAGGTTGGGAAACACTGGTCTAAACTATCAATTCCTTGACAAGGTGGCACTTGAGTACATAACACAAACCTGCAAAAGAGTTCAGCTCTTCTTTTTTCAGCCCAAAAGATGGCAAGAGGGCAATTTGCGCTCATCATCTTGAGAAGTTAGATTGCGCCCCTTTTTCACAGCAGGGAAATTGATGGAGTGTTTGATGAGCACCACCTGCACGGCTCCCTGAATGGAGGCTCTTCTGTGTGTTATTGGTGCATATGGGTTATCCCTTTAGAAGAGACCATTTTCCCCCTTTTAATCAGAGCCAGGTAGTCTCTAAGCTTTAGCAGTACATCTTTTCAGGCAGGAGGAAGTTAGGCTTAGCCTACATAATACAAAAATAGACTCCAGAAAGACGCAGAGTGGTTCTAAGTGATTACTTGTTCATTTTGTTTTGAGCTATCAGAATGGTATATATAGTCTACCTTCCCTTAGGCTTGCCAAAAAAGAGGTATACAAGTGTTACATTACGTAATGTCTCTGTGGGCGAGGTTTTGCATGACTTCCACCACCCCTCTCTTGGAGCGGGGGGGGGGGGGTTTTTTTTAAAGTCCACATCTTGTGTGTTAAATTGTGTGCTACATTACCAGGAGGTGGTACATGACCAGTTTCCTCCTCATTGGGTATCATCAGACATATGGAGCCCAATTATAGCAGGTTATATAGGGTTCAAACCCTCTAC